GTGTTCTAAAAGTTTTAGCAATAATTTTTAAAATTGCTCCTCTAAAGTGCCGCATAAAAGCAACGATTTTAAAACAAACTTTATCAACTCTACAGATGTGTGATTTTTTCACATGACAGGTGTTTGAACCCAGCTGCACATCTGAATCACCAGAGGGCTTGTTAAATACAGACTCCTGGGCCCACCCCCGGAGGTTTTGATTCCGTAGATCTGGGGTGGGGCCTGGGAATTTTGATTTCCGAGAAGTTACCAGGTAACTTGGTTGGTGAGCCATATGTTGAGAATCAGTGTTTTACAAAAATTATTGTAGAAATCTTCTGGAATGACCCTTGTGGAAAATTTCATTAATGCTGCAGAAGAGCTTATTTCATGTGCTATATTTGAGTGGTGATGGCGGGCCTGTCCTTTTGAATTTAGTGAGAGAAGGAAGCCTCGGAGCCTTCGCTCGTGCATCCTTTCAGTTGCGTCTGGTTTGGATTACCTAGTAGCTCAGTGAAGCACACGGGAAGTCACATCGATCTGTTGCCCAGATCACGTTGGCTTCGTTCTCAGGCACTTTAGACTTAGGTTCCTGGGTGTGTGCGTGGCATGGAGGAGGATGGCAGCCTTTTTCTATAATGGTTTCACTTCTATCATTGCTTTGTGTTGTAACTAAAGTTTTTCTGTAATGTCTAGTGTTAATAAAAATGTGGCTTTTATACACTAAGGTTAAAGCAGGAGTCCTGGGTGGTGCAGACAGTTAAGATGCTCAGCTGCTGACTGAAAGGTTATTGAGTTGAGTCCACCCAAAGACTCCTCGGAAGAAAGGCCTGGTGATCTACTTCCGAAAAATCAGCCATTGGAAACCCGTGGAGCGCAGTTCTACTCTGACACACACGGGGTCGCCATGGGTCAGAATCGACTCCATGCAGCTAGCAACGACAGCTCAATTCTTGACTTACAAGGGCTGTGAGTAACAAAGGCATTGGCAGTCAGGTGCCTAGATTTGATCGCTTACTAAGGCATCGTGTCTTTGGGAACCATAATACTTAACATAATTTCTCCACGGTTTTCATTCTGATTGTGGCGCTTTAGTTACATATGAAATGTTATCACCTCAAGTACACACAGATGTCAACAAGGAGAAATAATTGACTTGAAAAGTTGAATAATGTGCTAGGAAAAAAAAATCTGAGTTTGAAGAACCAGGAGTTTTGTAGATTTAGGAGAGATCTAAGAGGTGATCCAGTCCAGGGTGGAAAATAGATCACGTCCTGTCCCAACCCCATCAAAGTACATTTTTCTCATTGCCACGTGGAGAGAGTGATAATTCCTTAGTAATGTTTGCCGTAGCACAAGGGGGCCTACTTATAGCCACAAGCCCATAATTGCCTTGATGCATAGTCTCACTGAAGGACGAGGAAATGGAGGCCCCCAAAATTGAAAGACATTTCCAGAGTCACCCACTAGCTAGTGGCTGTGCTGATATTTAGGAGGTGGGAATCTGAGTGTTTCCATAAACCATCGACAATAGATTATAAACGACTGATCTAAGTACTTAGGGCCAAAAAGAAAAGAAACTGTAGTGTTCACAGTGTTTAAAATATTCTGTAGGAAAAGATCTGGTCTCCTCCAGCGACAGTTCGAGGTCATCTATAAAAAGTAACTTGCGAGAAGCTGGAAAAGCGAGGAGCCAGCTAGCACAGCAGTCTATGCCTGAGCTAATCCTTGCCAGCGTTCGGCAGGTGGAGGGACACAGCAGCTGAAGGACAGCCAAGGTCAACAGTGACCAAGGCTGTCGGTCCCTCCATGGAGGGGCTGGCTGTGGTCTGTGGGTCAGAGGTGTGGGAGGCAGTGAGTGAAGAAAAACCTAGTAATGTTTTTGTTTTGTTTACTCATTGAGAAAGCACTTGGCCAGACACTGCTGTGTATCCATGTGTTTTGTGTGTGTGAATACTATAGTGTAGCTAAAGCAGTTAGGTAGTCGGCAGATAATAGACGTCTGAAGAGAGAGCAGGGCGTGTTAGCACTGCAGCTGCCTATGTACCATGGGGAGTTGTATACGTGCTCCAAGAGAAAAGACGCATGATAAATTCTGCGCTAGCTGTTCTTCCATTTGCCAGACACTTGGGCTATAATGATAGCTGTCATTTGTGGAGTGCGTGGTATGTGCTACCACTTGGCCGGGTTTTAATACATTATTTTATTTAATGTCAATCATTCTGAAGAAGTAGGCGGTATCATATCTGTTTCTGAGGCTTCTAAGCATCATGTCGTTTTCCCAAACCGTTTCTATGTAGAAAACATCCACTCATTTTACAGAGGGAAAAACAGAGTTTCACATACCTGCGAGGGACACGAAGTGAGATTCAGACCCAGGTTTACCCACTTCTAAAGACACCGCTCATAACTGTTACATAATACTGCCATTTGCATCTAAATTCTCTGAACCTCTGTGTTCTTATTTGTAAACTAGAGATGACACCAAAGAAGCGCGTTGGGAGAACCAGTTTTTTTAATGAAAACTTTATGATTTTATCAAGCATTATTTAGAAATAATATGCAGTTATTAATAAATAAAAGACTCAAGCCAGCAAGCAGCATTTCATAGTCATATCATTTATTCATATCCAGCGAACGTTATTATGTAGTTTTGCTAACATTAATTTATTTTCATTCTTTATGGAACTATTGTTTCAAGAACATCATTGATTAACTGGCTAGAATTTAGTCTTTACTTTTCTATCATAAATTTGTCTTTTTTACTAACTAGTCGTGGTTGAAGGGCCTGAGTAATTAACTTTCAGTATAGTTAACGGCTACACGGAGAGACACACCACCTACAGGTCTTTTGGATGCTTATTATTTTGGCACAGATAATTTATCATATCTCATCTGTCTTTTTATTACATTAAATCTTCAAGACAAATACACTTAATGCGTTAGATGGGAAACGTTAGCACCAACAAAGAAAAGTAGTTTAGCTTAGTTATTGCTGGTTAATCCACCTCAGACTCCAAGGCCACGTCTAATCCTTGGAAGGATTAGATGAAAATAGGATACAGTGAGGTCAGTGTCATGTTATTGAAGCCCATTTTAATCAAAGGATCTGAATGAAAATTGATCTTCCAACCAGAAAAACATAACTAGGACTTAGAGAAATACCGTAATGAGTTAGGCTGATGGATTGTTTTCCCGCTGGACTACCTTTTTCCTTTCTCCATCTGATTGCTTTGCGGTCAAAGAGACATGTTGTTTGTGTGCTGCCGAGTTGATTCCGACTCATAGCGACCCTGCAGGACAGAGTAGAACTGCCCCGTAGGATTTCCTAGGCTGAAATCTTTCCAGGAACAGACCTCCAGGTCTTTTCTCCCACGGAGCGAGCAGCTGGTGAGTTTGAGTGGCCAACCCTCCAGTTAGCCGCCTAGCGCTTAACCATTGTGCCAGCGGGGCTCCCTGGTCAGATGAAGCACATTGATTTATGTATTTATATATGATAAAATTGCCTTTAAACTTAATGAAGATTTTGTTGCATTTAATTAGAAAGATTTGCTCTAAAGTAAGTTAAGAGAATGTTCAGAACGGTAATAAAATCTGAAATTTATGGCAAACTTTAATTAAAAAACAAAAATAAACTAATGAAGTTGTAGTTTAACAGACTTCAGAGAGTGCTTCATAGCCAGAACTTCTAAGTACGGACTGGAATGGAAAGTTCTAAGTGAGGATCTGGCTAATTCAAGGAATACGCGGAACTGAGTGAGGATCTTCTGAAGTCTGCCCTTCACTGACGCTTTGTACTCTCGTTCACTGTCAGGGTTTTTATATTTTATAAGATATTTGAGGCTTCCAAGCATCACATTGTTTTCTCAAGCTAAACAAGCAAAAAACCAAACCCGTTGCCATCAAGTGGATTTCGACTGATGGTGACCCCATGTGTATCAGAGTGCAGTGTGCTCCATAGGGTTTTCAGTAGCTGATTTTTTATTTTTTATTTTTTTTATTGTACTTCAGGTGAAGGCTTACAGAACAAATAGTTTCTCATGAAACAGAAGTATACATATTGTTTTATGACATTGGTTAACAGCCCCACAACATGTCAACCCTCTAACTTCTCAACCTTTTTTTTTTTTTTTGGTGAAAATACCCATAGCCAAAGATACACCATTTCAAAAATTTCTACATGCCCAGTTCAGTGACATCGACTATGCTCTTCGAATTGTGCTGTTATTCTCACTTAAGATGAAGGCTTATAGAACAAAATAGTTTCTCATTTAACGGTTACTACCAATGTTGCCCTATGACAATGGTTAACAATCTCACAACACATCAACAGTATCCTTACTCAACCTTGGGTTCCCTATCACCAGCTTCCTTGTCCCCTCTGCTTTCTGGCCCTTGTCCCTGGACTCCTGTACCTCGCCAGTCTCATTTGGTTTTACAGGGCTGTCCAGTCCCAGGCTGAATGGTGAACCTCGGAGATAACTTCACCACTGAGCTAAAAGGGTGTCTGGGGGCCACACTCTCGGGGTTTCTCCAGTCTCCTTTAGGCCAGCAGTGGCTGATTTTTTAGAAGTAGATCTCCAGGCCTTTCTTCTGAGGTACCTGTGGGTGGACTTGAACCTCCAACCTTTTGGTTAGCAGCCAAGCGCATTAACCGTTTGCACCACCCAGGTACAAACCCATTGTAGGTTTATTCCACTCTATTGAGCTTTTCTGCTAGTTAAACATGAGATGGTGAGGTGGTCGGTGACATGAGGCAGTGAGGTGACCGGGGACGAGACGGCGAGAGGGGACGGGGGACGAGGCAGTGAGAGGGGACCGGGGACGCGCGAGGCGGCGAGAGGGGACTGGGGACGAGGCGGCGAGAGGGGACCGGGGACGAGGCGGCGAGAGGCGATCAGTGAAGTGATCCCAGTTGTTGCTCGCTTGCGGACAGTTACAGCAAACAGTGTTTAACATTGTATCCAGTCGCGTTCCTGGCAGTTGACAGAACTTTCTGTGTGTTGATCTGTCTTCCCCAGAAGCGCTCCAGAGGTCAAGTGCTGTTTGATAAAGTGTGCGCACACCTGAACCTGCTGGAAAAGGACTACTTCGGGCTTACGTATCGAGACGCTGAAAACCAAAAGGTGAGAGATGAAAAGCAGATACAAAATAAAACGGACCGAGCTGTTCATTCCTGCATGCAGGTGAGCTAAGACTAGACAGGTGGATCATTTTTCCATCGCCCCTCCCATCCCCACACTTTCGACTTTAAATCCCTAAATCGCCTTACTTCCTCGAGAAGGAAATTACTTACAACTTTCTTTCATCTCGATTGTTCTGGAAACAGTGAGTCAGCTCTTCTGTTTTCCATGTTTCAGTTATTTATTATTCCAGAGAAACATTTTGCATGTTGCTTTTTTGGATGGCATATTGCACCAGATAGTTTGACCCAACAAGACTCAAATACACTGATACTTGTGTAGAAAACATGTTTATATCCCAGAGTTGTGTGAAGATACTAGGGTTGTGACGTAAACTGTTAGGCAGTTGAAGATTGGGGCTGCTGTGCTATTTTTAACTCATCTCATTATGCTTTCATATTCTTTCCAAATCAGAATATGAGATGAATGGGTCATTTGCCGACTGAGACACATCTAATACATTCAGTAGGCGTTTCCTGTGTGATACAATGCCTGTGTTGACTCCAACATCTGATGGATGCAGCCTATTCAGGGCTCTGCCTCACTCATCCCTGTAACTACCTGAAAATAGAGAACGTTCCCATTGTATTGGTGGTGGAAATAGAGTCACAGAAATTTTTTCATAGATTACTTGTTTTGGTATTGTGGAACTAGTTATATTCAATACCAACTGAATTCAACAGACTGAATTCACTGTTAAACATCTGATTTTCCGGGTGAGAAAAATCACAAATCTCAAAGGAGTGTTCATTTGTGAGGGAAGTTTTCCAGACAAGTAAGTGCATGAGAATCTGCAGTCACGGGAACCACCGATGTGGGACTGAATGGCCAGAACATCAGTGTGTCGAGTTCCATGTATTTTTAATTTATTCTGATAACGTGTTTGAGCAGACTCATCCTCGAATTTTTTTCTCTTATTTTTGTGCTAGCTTGAATTCCTGAAGGCAGTGAGTAAAAGAAAAAGAATTTTGTCAAGCACGAATTGTGTCCCCACACGGGTTTTCTCATTTCCTCTCTTAGCCCAGTGCCTGGGCCTCATGGTGCCCAGGCCTCACGGCGCCCAGGCCTCACGGCGTCCAGGCCTCATGGTGCCCGGGCCTCACGGCGCCCAGACCTCATTGCACCCAGACCTCATGGCACCCAGGCCTCACGGCGCCCTGACCTCATAATGCCTGTGCCCCACGGCACCCAGGCCTCATGGTGCCCACGCCTCATGGCACCCAGGCCTCACGGCGCCCTGGCCTCACCACACCCAGGCCTCACAGTGCCCATGCCCCACAGCACCCAGCGGGGAAGGACCGCTGCTCAGAGGCTTTCCAACAACCAGCTCGTTGGTGGATGTCACCGTTGGGGGTTGGCCGTGTTAGTGGATGTCTGTCTCTGATCAACATGAATTAATTTTTATTTTCTTTGATTCAAATTAAAAATATCATTTCCTTTTCAGAATTGGCTGGACCCTTCTAAGGAAATAAAAAAACAGATTCGAAGTAAGTTCTGTTGGACTGTTCTCTATGGGAATGTGAAGAGTTGTAGAGGGCGGGGGTGCCTGCGTTTGCAGCACGTACTCAACTGACTACTGTGACTATGAACTTTTTTGAGAGACAGATTAAAATCTCAAATTTGATCTTTGGCAGGTTGGTCTAGCTCAGATAGTACTCATATTTAATAAGCACAACCCAGGAATTAAAATGAATCTGACACTTGACCTATTCCCCATGTGTTCATAGATGTAAAATACATGATTCCGTCAAGTGAAGCTGCAAATGGCAATTAGCCATTTAAAATTTCCAGTCTCAATTACTAATGGTATCTTGAGCCTAACTGCCACAAAAATATAAAAATCAAGCTAAAAGAAATAGTCATTTGGTAGTTCCGAAATGAAGTAACGAATCAGTGAAATTTACTGTCTTCTGACCACCTCTTTCCTTTGTCCCTGAAGGTGCGTTAAGAAATGCATATTTTACCTTCTCATGGATCAAGCAATTGTGTGAGCAACTCACAAAATTAAAATATAAGTAGCTAATAAATATGGGACAAGCTGGTAAATTTTACTAATAATTAAGTGCAACTTAGAATGTGGCATTTTTCACCTATTTGGATTAGCAAAGATTTAAAAAGTTTAATAACACACTGCATTGGCAACTATACGTATATAGTTGATAGAAGTATACATTGATGCTCTCCTTTAAGAGGGCAGTTTGGCAATATTTGTTAAAAGTGTGCATACTCTTTGACACTTGATTCTACATGTAGAACTTTATTCAGCGTATGTGCAAGAGAGAAAATGTGCTGTGTGTACAAACACGAAACTTCATTATAATACTGTTTGCAGTGGGAAAAGACTGGAAGCATCTTAAATGTCCAGTTGTCAGGAAATGGTTAAATCAATCATAGACTATTTGCACCATCAAATATTACTACGCAGCTGTTAAAAAAGAATGAGGTAGAGTAAAAATGTCTTAGTGCTCCTTAGAGAAAATCAGGTGGTAGACTATAACATGATCCCATTTGTTTAAAACAAGACATGCACATATAAATTTATGGAAAAATTTTGGAAGGCCGTGAAAGATATTAACAGTAATTACCTCCAAACTGCAGTGTAGGGAATTGAGAAAGAGAATTTTTTTTATTTTTTACATTTTCTGTAGCTCTCACTTTACCATAAACATGAATAATCTTTATAATTTGAAATAACGTGTTGATTTTTTAAAGCAATTTATATTCTTACCAATAAAATCTAGATGAATTCTCCTGTCCAACTAATTATAGTTGAAGAATGAATTTAAGACCAATTTATTAATAAGAACATCATTCCCATTTAAGTTTCAACAGTTTATTATTAAAAGAGACAGAAAATATTTCTAGTGCCTTTGAAAATCCTGGGATATCAAAATACCCAAAGTGCTAATAAAAAAGTGAGAAGTGAGTAGTTTAAAATGGTTTGATAGCATATACTATATCAGGAAAAAGAAAAAAATCACTGTACTTCAAAATATTAGGCAGTTTGCTGATTATTTAGACAATTAAAACATCCTTACTATATTTTTTAGAGAAATTTGATGTATCCCCTCACCAGAAACTTGATACTGAAGTAGTTTGATAGAAATGAACAAATAGAGATTGAAGCAGGGACTGCTACAGTTGTGATAAATAAATGGAAACCAGGGCCTCGAACCGGTTCTTCCCAATTTAGTCATGGCCAAGGAAGCGAAACCGGAACAGACCCAAATTTTTAAAATTTGAGTAAACAGGAGTGATAACCAAAACAGGAAAACTTATGGGTGTAAACCCTGCTAGAAAGCTAATCTCCTTAGAAAACAAGGGCAGTGTACATGTTGTATAGCAACCAGATCTCTTGCTCATCAGATTCTGAGCAGAGTCAGAAACAGCAGTGCCCTGCTCAAAGATGGCGGCCAGCCACACCACTTTGAATGTGTGCTGCTCTCCACAGTCCAGCCTATGATCCAGTCTCACGCATCAGGCTCCTGAAGGGGCTCGCTATGCGTCTTCCGAGTCTCCCGTCCCACGGTTTTGACCCATAATTTTTCCCATTCCAGTTATTGTTCTTGATCACCAAATGGTAAAAATTTGGGTCTGTTCCGGTTTCACTTTGTTGGACATGAGTGAGCCGATTCGAACTGGTTTGAATCCCTGGTGGAAACGTTCTTTGTTTCCGAGAGTCCTAATAAAAACAACTTAAGATGATGAATGTATTCTAAGGATCATTTTATATAGAGCTCTTAAAAGCAGATATGCTGAGTATATATCATAACACTATGTACATAAAATCCTCCATAGTCATCTGATTAATGAAATGCTGCATTGTAGTTAGCTAATCAATAATTGCATGTATAAAATTTTCAAGAATAAGCCATAATACTGTTACAAGAAAGCCTTGTATAAGATGGTCTTTCTTTTCTATTGTTAATAGAGTTCTTTTTTTCCTGACCTCCCATTCGTCCTGTCTCCTGCCTTCCTTTGGAAGAGAAAAAAGCTAAGGACACAATCAGTACATGAGAGTTAAAGGATTTATTTCCATCATGCAGATCAGGCAGCGGCACTGCAATGTAAAGAAACCTAAGTGACAGTCTTTCAGATAAAGGAAGAGACAAGGAAAATTGGAATTTAAAAAAAAAAGGATTTAATGTTTTTATCTGTATTCTTTGTTTCCCATCCACTACAATGCCCTCTTCCCACAAAGTTTGTATTCTACCAAGATGGAGTATTTATCATGTCTAATGTAATTATTGTACCATTACCTACCTCCTCTTCCTCAGTGTGGACCGTAAAAGGATATTTCCATCCATTCTATGCTGTAGGTCCAGCATATGTTTATCCAATGAGATCTTAAGGGAATGGAGATGGAACGATAGAGGATTTTAAATTACAAATCTCTGATAAATAAAAAATTGTGGAACTGAAGAATTCATTCTTATAAAGAAAATTCTAATTTTAGCCATCTTTTATGCATGCTGAATCTTAAAATTTCTAAATATACTAGATAGTATATGATATAGTAATGTCGATATGAGTATAGGACAGTAATTTCATGATATGAGTGCCGTGTGCTAAGAAATCTTAAGATTCAGCACGCATATCAGAATTTCTTTGTAAGAATGAACTCTATTCATTTCACAATTTTCTGTTTGTCATGAATTTGCTTCTTGAAGTCCTGTATCGGCCTTACAGAAATATTCATTTTAATGTGTTCAACATGTTTCATTTCCTGTTTCTAGATAGAGTCAGTC